CAGAAGGGACAGCAGAAGTAGAAACCTGGGTGTAACAGTCAATACAGTCCTATCAACAGGACAATTGGTTGGAACAAATCATATTTTGTACACTGGATAGAAGGTTGAGGGTGGAAATTCCGTCCAGTTCACATGGAGAGTATCTATTGCCAAAGCCCAAAGATGAGGTACTGGAGACCAAATTGCCAGCAGTTGGGTGATCCAATGAGAGGCAATCCAACTGAACCTTGTGATACAACATCTATTCTGTCGGGAGAATCTGTTTGGATTGTGACAATTGACCTGCTACCACAGGCATCACCAGTGGAACATAGCAAGCTAGAAGGGTGACAAGATAAGACAAGTCTCGAGAAAGTAGGTCCAAAATTTGAAAATAAGGAGCCCTAGATCACATGCCTTCTTGCTGAGAAACATAAGACACCACTGCATTAAAGTCAGAGTGATGCTTGACGATTTACCACTTAAGAAGCCCAGACCATGAGGCCTTGCCTGTTGAAGAGCAAGAAGAACAAAAACATTGCGTAGGGAATCCTCATCATCTGTGCATAGCTCTGGAATTCCTGACTGTTGATATATGCACCCCTGCTCTGAAACAAGGCATTCATGAAAATATTGGAACTCAGGATGAGGTGGCAGTAGAGGAACCCAAATTGTAGTAGTGTCCTGACTTAACAACCCCTCAAGACCAAAAAATGATCCCGAATAAGGAAACTGGGGAAACCAGTAAATAGATGTGTATGATCCTTGGTTACTTAAAGACCAATAAAACGATTGCTTGTGTTTTCATCCCAAAGGCATGAAGGATTTGAGTGATAACCACATTCCAAGAAGAGAGTTAAAAAGAGGTGAGTAAAAGTGTGGCATTCTATTCTATTCTATAGCATTGAACAGAATGGGAGACAGCTGAGCCTGACTGAGAAATGAGTTGAAAAATAAAAAAATACCCAGACTGATGGCATATTGAATTGGAGGAAGAATAGATGTTGCTGTCCCAAAAGAGAAGCCTGCCTGGGTTGTATCTGAAGTAAAATCAGAATGTGTTAGTTTAACAACTGACAAGATGGTGGCAGCAGTAACCAGTTGTCTGTGGAATGGTGTTTGCACAGTACGATGGAATGAAGGAGACAAGGGAAAAAAACCCATGTGAAGCTTATGCGAGTTCAAAAGAAAAAAACAAGAACTGCAGTACTTGACCCTTGTGCACCACAAAGACTGATAGTGGTGGAACTACCACTAAGGTAAAATGGAGACAGGAGCTGACTACAACCAAGTTGGACATCAACAATCCCAGTAAAAAATTCAACAGAGACTGAGGAATGATTAACAAGTGAACCTTGGAGAATATAGGCATTGATATAGACAAAATTGATGACTGGACACCAATCACTTGTCTGTATAGGCTCAACAACTGACAGGAATAAAAACTCTGAAGAACTAGCCTAACTTTTTCACTACTCCCAGACCAACCTGACTCAGATAACCCTAGAACTAAGCTCCAAAGCCCAATGAACTGAAAGAGATGGAAACCCTACAGGTTGGGTGGATAATAGTGGGAAAGATGTGAACTGAACAACCAACTGTGACCCAAGGACCTGCAGAGCTCCTGGACCCATAGCTAAGGTTACCACATGTCCTGAAATTTTTGGAAACAAGCCACCCACAGCCTCTGAAGATATAGAATAATCACTGATACTGCTGGCGATCCGACAAAGTAGTGGAAACCTTAGATATAGATAGAATCTATTCTGAGTACCAATGTACTAAGGGTTTGATGTCGAGGGTTGGGACTCATCAATAGGGGTGGAACTATGACCCACTGTAGGATTTGATGAAATTTCAGACTCCAAGAACAACTGGGAGGAATGTAAAAGCAGAAAACTGAACCAATGTGCATGCTAACAATGGATCCAGCTCATCCTCAATGAAGGTGGTGATCCTGAGAGTCTTCTAACAAAGTGAAGTGAAAGGAAACAAAATGTTGAAATGTGAGCTGGAAGTCCATAGACTTACTCTGTCCCATTAGGAGACATAGACAGGTGAACTACAAACTCCACCTTAGAACCCAAACTTGAGGAGCAGATGTATTATTGAAGAGTTGGAAAAATACCTCCACCTGGTGGTGGTGGTAGGCTAAATCACAACGTTCTGACAACGTGTTGGATAAGGCCTAATTGTCCTTTTACGTAACTAATAATATCAGTGTATGGAGAAAAAACTAAAAATTCACTTGCAAACCTATCAGCCATCAAGTAGGTTGGAGGCTCAAAAGCAACTGGGAAAAAGCCCAAAACATCACACACTCAAAGAACCAACAGAAGGAAAAACAAGTTAAAGGGAGTTTATCCCAAAGTGGCCACCTTTTCATTTTTTGTACGTCATTTAAAGTCTGTGTTGATTACCACTGATTGGAACAGCATTTTGTGAGGTTAAGTAAGTTGTTTTGTTGGAACAAAGCAACTTCAGGTCATGTGCCACATCTATCATAGGGAACCCTGAACCTCAACACTGCGAGTCCATAAACTTACCACTGACCCACAGGGGGGCTGAAAATCCAACAGACTATAAGAAGGAAGAAGAAAAAGTGAATCTAGTCTCTCGGAGGACCAGCACAGGTCCGAATATATGTCTCCATCTCACTACAAATAAGATCATTGACAGTCTCAACCAATAGTGAACATTCAAAGTATCTCCGAACAATCGTAATACTGGAAAACCTGTTAGTGAAGTTTTGTCGAGAAAAAGTGATAAAATTACCCAAATGAGGTGCTTATATACAGTACCAGGATAGATGGCACATTGATGTAAGTGGAGACTATCACAAGACATATATTGCCAAGCGCAATTGAGTGGGGTAAAAAAGACTGGAGCAAACGAATAAAAATCATACAATTGCTTAGATGGGCAAAGATGAAACCCTGGCAGATGAGTAATAGCTGTGAGTGGGAGTGAAGGTATATATATTTTGGAAACTCAGGGATGATAGAATCTGAGTAAATATAAACCTAAACCCTGGATAGGCAGAAACATTCTAAAAAACTTAAAAGGGCATTATTTACAGACAATACAACTTGGAGTTGCATAGAGATAAAAGTTCAAACATGTTAAAATATTTTTCTAAGCAAATTACATTAACACTCTTGCTAAGAGCTCAGTTAAATCATCCAAGTTCATAAAAACAAATTGACACTTAGACTTTCCACACTATAACTTCTAATATGTTTTGTGTATCTTCAGGAAATTTTGCAAGCTTACAGTAAGTATTAGGAGTCCTTTGTAGACAAAAAAATTCGAATTTTTAAGTAAGTATTTTCACTACAAATTTCTCTGTGAATATATGGAGTTAAAATGTTGAATACTCTGAGTGCAAAATGATTTTCATATTAAGATTAAAAATACTTTTCTTCAGCTGAAAATTGTTAAATTTCATTTGTGTAATCTCTAAAACTTCCTAGATAAATTTCAAACGTTTTTTTTTCAGAAACACTTTATACTTTATCTGTTATTTTCTCTACTAAAATTCTATACAAGATTGGTTAAACTGACCAACCTCATAACCACCATAACAAAAATATGAAATAAATCTAAATTACCATTTTTTTTCTTTCTAAAATGATTACAAATTGTAACAAGAAACTACATATGTTTATCCTAAATAGCTTAAAACCTGTAACACTATACATCAGTTTCTACTTAAATTTTATTGTTTTATTGACTTTTGAGCCATGTCTAACTAATAACTGTCATACAAGCTGTAAATTACTTGGCAAACATGGAGCTCATGTTACCTTATCGATTTATGTAAGGTACAGGCTACTCATGAGCACACCTCATTAAACTTTTTTACCATTATTTTTTGTCTTCATTTTACCCAATCACACCTAAAAAGTTTCTGATTTTTATATTTTAATCACTTTTATAATAATAAATATAGAATAAATAAGAAAAACAAGAAATATAGTACTTATCTGGCTCTTCTTTTTCTTGCTGATGATGAAACTTAACCCTAGTTTTTTTATGCTAATAGTACTACTGCATTACATTTATTTAATTAAATAATGCACCTAAGAATACAGAATCATGTAAAAAGCAGATAATTTCCTATAACTATGCAATAAGAGTTGTCAAAATTCAGCTATGCTTGATGATGTGTTTCCCATGGGAACAAAGTTTGAATTGGAAGCAAAATAGGCAATCCTCTGTACAGAAAAGAACATAATATACCTCATTTGATATATTAAATCTTTGAATTTCTATTGGTTATAAATAGTAAATAATATAGTATTATTTACTATTTATAACCAATAGAAATAGTAAATAATATAGTATTATTAAATGTCAGAGAAAACTACTAGCAATTTGTAAAAAAGAGGATCTAACAGATGGGCATGGCAATAGGGGATAATTTTTTAGTTTATGGTTCTGTAACCAAATAAGATTGAAGGTTATAAAAACTTTGCTTTTCCTAAATAACAACAATATTATAATGAGTAATTTATGTTAATATATGGTAACTAAATTAGAGAAGATGGAAAACCCAGAGAGCAAATGTCAATCTGCATACTAGGGGAAATGGAGGAAATTTTTTTAAATATTGCCTGATAAAATTAAGATCTTAAAACTTATATGATATTAAAATCTAGATTATTAGCTACATTTTGGTGCCAAGTTTATTTTTAAACCATGCTAATAGAGTAGTTTAATTAGATTTTAAATGTAACTCAGTGAAACCTCATGACACGCACAGAAAAGGATGCCTGTATGGAATAAGTTAAATAAATCTTGCAAAGTTATTAAACATTCCCAAGTAAAAATACTGTTTCAACAGAGTTAGAAGTAGTGTTTAAATTGTGAAATTGCACAAGTGTGACTTAACACTGTAGAACTACTCTCCAGTTCATTCTGATTTCTAATACATAAAAAAATAGTACATTACAATTCAAACTAATTTGTCTTACAGTATGGAAACCATAACATCAATGTATACAAAGATTATCACTTACTTATTACTTTGTTTTCTTTCCAATATTCATTTTTCGAAATAACTTGAACAAACATTTCTGGCAGAGTTATCACACCTTTATTCAAGGCCAGCCTGATGATAATCCTAGAACTGTCATCATCAAATCCTTCAACCTGAAAGATAATAGATTATGATTTTTACTCATGGTCATATTTTGTTGTTTTTCAGAATTTGTAGAGCATACCAAAATTAGAAAAAAAAGACAACCTTTATTCACCAGATAATAATGATAAACTATTTCAGCCAATGTTTCACAACTACAGCTTCATCAGGGCTAGTAGTACAAGTATAGGTTTGTTTTGTTTTGAATTTCTTGCAAAGCTACACTAGAGCTATCTGTGCTAGCCATCCCTAATTTAGCAGTGAAAGACTAGAGGGAAGGCAGCTAGTCATCACCACCCACCACCAATTAAGGAAGAGTGGGATTGACTGTTACATTATAATGCTCCCACAACTGAAAGGGTAGGCATGTTTTGAATGGAAAGAGATTTGAACCCGCAGATTCTGCATTGAGCTCCCTAACCACCTGGCCATGCCAGGCCACACGTATAGGATGCAGTTTCCTATACTTGTACTACTAGCCTGATAAAGTTGCAATGGGAAAAGATTGGCTAAAATAAAAATTTTTTATTATTAAACGTTAATTTTCTTTTCCAACTAATGTTTGTTTGTTTATTTTGTCATGAACGATTTGTTTGATTTTGATAATTATACAATAAAAAATTTTCCCACACAAAAAAACAACAACAAACATTGCAAGTTCTAATGTAAGAAATGCCTTATGAAATAGTTCACCTGCTAGAAGTTGGAATGATCACTTCCAAATTTACAGATAACATCATTACTGCTAACCCTATGTGCATGGGGCTGGTCCATTAGACCGAGCCTGTATTGAAGAATTAATGTTTCCTATGTGTTCTATGTTTCCAAATTTACTTAATATATTATCACAAAATTTAGTAAGCTTTAAGTAAACATTACAAGTATGTTGTGAACAAAAAGCTAATTTTTAATAAAGTATTTTTACTAAAAACGTATCTCTTAATTTACATTAGTTAGTCTGACTCAGACCCCGACTAGTCTGAGACAAGATGATTATCATGTTACGAATAAAAATACTTTTTTTCATCTTACAGTTTCATATTTCATTTACACAGCCTATGGAACATCCTAAATGAATATCAAGTGTTAGTTTCAGTTTCAGTTAAACTTTATCTGTTATTTTCTCTACTATAAAACTATATGGGCTCAGTCCATTTGACTGACATTGTAACTATACCAAAAAAAAAAAAAAAAAAAAAAAAAAAAAAAAAA